GATACTGCTATTGACTGCCGCGAGAGTAAACACCAAATCTTAATCTGTTTCCGAAATCTCCCCAAATCAAGGTCTTTCAGTGACACCACGAGCAGACTTTGATCTCCGACAGTTTTGTGATGCACTTTAGTTGATCAACTGATCTTTGCAATCTCCCAATGATCTCTCAGTCAGCGTTTTAAATGTTCTGTGTAATCCAAAGGAGGTATAAGTGACAATTGGGGTATCTAAAAGTGAAGCCTGAAACCTAATAATGTACATGTAATTACAAATAGCCGAGGCGACTGAATCCTCTCAGTTAACTTTCTGAGGACCTGGCATGTTCAAAATATACAAATATGTGATTCAGCAATATATACAGATACATTTGAAGACTACTTGTCTTTAATCAATTATGTACAAGACTTCAAAGTTATTCTGAGTCTTGAGTGATCGGCTCCTACAGCTCGATCGGCTCCTATGGCTCCCGGCTCTTACAAGCTCTTTTTTTTCTTAAAATACCGACTCTTACAGCACAGTTCCTGCAGTTCTGCTCTTTACAGCTCTTGCTGGTCCCCAATGTCACTTTCTTAATAATAAATAATATTTAAAACCACGAAAGACTTGTTCAGTTACATCTAAAGCTTAAAATATTTATTTATTGTCCTTAACTGAATGTTGCCTTTGGTCAAAAATGATCCGCTTGTCTTGCCGGTTCAGCAGTAACTTCACTTATTAACTCAACTCTGCCGCTTCACTTATAATTATACCCTACATGACCAACAGCGCAATCTAGCGGAAACATGACTAAAATACCGCTTGTACCAGAATAAATTTTCCGGGGATTGTCTCAAAAGATTAATAGGCATGCTCTCTGCGCTTTTTGGGTGATCCTTGGATGTTCGTTAAAAGACCGGTTATCTTTGCAATCGTTGATAGACTGTTCTGGGTCTATTTAAGAGTTTGAGATACCATGGATACTTTGAAGACCTTTGGAAATCAATGAGAGTTTACGACGGTGAATTGCTGGGCGATGGTTGAAAGATTGTTGAGATGTTTTTGTCAATTCTGCAATCTTTCAACTGTCAAATCCTCTGTGTAAAGGCGCTTCAGTTGGATCATACAGAAATAAAGCGTCAAAATAGCCTAATATTTATTAAATGTTTGATCAGCGGTGTTTCAAATCATTGTCAATTTAACCCTTCCACTTTTTCTTTCACAAAGTACAAAGTTACAAAACAATGCTGTGCTATAATTTTAAAGTCTCTTCCTGTTGCTGTGAATCATGGGAGCCTATTAGACTGAAGGGTCCTCAACCAAATTGTATGTTTCACTTCAACACTTCCACCTGTTTCATTTTCTACCTACAATTAAGAAGATCAATAAAGAAAAATAATGTTGTGGTAAAATGCAACCAAGCAAACATTTTAGGTGCCATAAAACGTGGACATGAAATGTGAAGATCACGAACAGTAATCAGGTTCAAAGTCCAGTTAAACGATACAAAATGAAATTGTGAGCAGAGCAAACACATACCTAAAAAAAACAGAAATGGATCAGGTGCTATGGAGGCCTGAGCATCCCCATTTGAATCACCATATCACTTACCCGTATGTTTACAACTCTACATTCATTTTGTTTGACGTACTGACTGTTATAATGATATAACAAACATTAAATATTTGTTACAGCAAAGATACGTTTCATTTCCTCTCTAGACACCATTATCACTTTGAAGCGATTCGAAAGAAATGTGTTTTACCATTTGGACATGCTCACATTTACTTCAAGATCTAGAAGAAAACAAATCACATATTTCAAACGGTCTTGTCTTTTACAATTAAAGAAAAGATTATTTTCTTTCAAAAAGTAAAATTGATTTTAAGGTTAACGTTTTCGATTATGAAATGATTAATTTTATGCATTCAATACATAGAAAATAAGTGTGACAAGAATGTGCATGTACTTACCTCTTTTCCGTGAGAAGAAACGTTGTCCGTTAAAATTGTCCTTTTCTTTTTCATTTTCGATATGATAAAGTTTTCAAGAAAATTCCCAAAAGACTACCCATTCAATCGCAATTTCGAAACGTATACTTTGACGATCCATGATATACACTTTCATTTGAAAACTTTAGTGTAGGTTCTGAATTTGCTGGAATTTATTTTTTCTTGCGATGAAATAACTCATTAACTGCAAACAAATGTCTTTCAAACACATCATTACAAGAAGAATTCTTAACTTATCTATTAATCCAGAATAACATGCCTAACATTCTGTTTTATTATAATACCGAAAAGCGTTTTTGATTTTTTTTTTTTTTTTTTTTTTTTTTTTTTTTTTTTTTTTTGTGGGATGCCAACTTTGACTTATTTTAGCTGATTGTCGGTTCGCTTCAATTTTAACCAATAAGTCTGTACTCTTTGAATTGGCACTGAACAAAATAAAGATAACTTTGATTTGTGTGTACTTAAATAATATAGTGGAGCTTGATAGTACTCAAAGATTATTATGCAATCAGTGATTCATAATAACTATATATCAAGACGTATTATAATAATACATAATTTCTTCTTGCATTGTTTTTCCTTACATACAAAGGTACCTGGAACATTCTTTTGTTAGGGGATAAAAACACTAATCCACTTTTATGTCGTGGAATTTTGTGTCCTCCAAAATAACTCACAAACCATTGACATGCCTTTGAGCAAGGAAAACTCCAAATTTTACACTTGTTTAAGAGACTGTTTTACTGTATGTCTATATCAATATTATCTTACATGTACTAGAAATATTCCTTGTTGTGTAGATCTCGTTGAGGTTTTCATTTGAAGTCAATGCAGAGGCAGAGGTTGTCCTGTCATTTGGCATAGTGGTTGTCGACTTCAATAAATTACGATTTTTTTTCTAGGATGATATTTTACACTTCTGTCTTCTCCATCATACCTTTACAGTCACTAGGTCCGCATCCCATGATTGGAAGTGAGAGAATAAGAAGACAAACTTCTCCTAGATTGTCAAAAATTGATACTCTGAGTAACTTCTAGTATAATAATAAAAATATTCCCTTTTTAACAATGTTCTCAAAAAAGCGATCACAGTGAAAAGGACTGTTTGTTGTGTATCCATAATGAAGCCATTGTATGTCAATTACGTGCACGTGGGGATTTCGTTACAGGAAATTGAAAAACTTGAATAAATGAGGAGAAAAGCATAGATGACTTTTACAATTTTACCATACGACATGAACCGTTTTGATCAGAAAATCATTCTGCCATTTCCCCATAAATAAAAACACACATAAAACCAAATTTTTACAATTATTTAGGAGGGGAACAATAAAATGACATTAAATCAAATGTAGGTTTGAAATCTCATATAAAAAGTTACATTCCTATTATTTTTTAAGACAGGTCTTATGCTAAACATGATTTTGATCATAATTTTATCCGTCCTGCTGTTGTAACAAAAGTTAGATATTTCATTTTAATTATGATTGGATTATCATGCATTTAATTAGTCAGTATTCTTTACTGTTTTTCAATAAGCTATATTTATTTTTTTTGTGATCGCATTTGTTTTGGGTTGGTATTTCATTGGTTTTATTATATCATTTATGACCCCTTTAATTAGTAACCATTCTGTATATTTGGTCTCTTGATATTCCGGAAGTGTTAATTTCCTCGAGCCGACATTTATCCAGGGGCACATAATCCATAAACTTCCTCCAACTTTATATTATATATATATATATATATATATATATATATATATATATATATATATATATATATATATATATATATATATATATATATATATATATTATCTTCATAAAATGCGAATATGGAATAGTAATCAAGCTCAAAAGTCCATTAAAACAATGCAGATATTTAAGCAATGACCTTATAGACCTCTAAAAAACATCAGAGGTGGGATCAGGTGCCATGGAGGGGGACGTATCACCTGACGACCTGTCGTGGGCTCTTCCAACGGGTAAAAGGAAAAATCCGTACACAATTCAGTGAAATAATGGGCTGTAAATTTGAATGAAAAATATTGTTAAAACGTTTATACGGAGGATGGACATTTTTATCACAATTATTTTCCAAATTGTCTCTATTTACCTTCTTCTCTGACTTTGAATTCCTTTGGTTATGAAAAATCAAGGGAGAAAAAGTACATAAAATTTCAAACACAACTGAATCTCTCTCTCTCTCTCTCTCTCTCTCTCTCTCTCTCTCTCTCTCTCTCTCTCTCTCTCTCATCCACTTTCACACAATTAATTTATACATCACTTAAAATATTTGCAACTTGTTGTTATCAATAGTACATGCATATACATGTTTATCAATGTTCGAGGTACATATTGTCTCCGATTCCTTTTATTTGATGCTGAATTTTCTGTCGCTTACAAGAAGTTATGATCAGTACGATCAGAAATCTACCGATAGCTCCAATAAAACGGGTTTATAAATGTCTTCAAAAATTGCCAAAATTGAAAATATAGCACACAACAACAGATGTCTTCCGGATGTGCCGAATTTTTGTGTGAATTAATAAATGATGCTTTTCAAATCATCCTCGAGATCGCATTACTTTGTGTTAACATGACCATCATTCATTTCACATAAATAACATCAAAATCAGAAGCAACAAGGACTTCCCATCTTTGTATAAATTGAAACTTTTTCTGAATACTTGCATAAGAATACTCTGACTGAAGTCATACAGCACAATCAGGACGTATCTCCAATCTTCCCAGGCGACCTAAAATCTGTAGGTATTGATTTTATTTTTGTTACAAGTAATTTGTGTACTTTTTACAGATTTGTTTACAAATACAACTATTTTATGGATAAACCGTATCTGTGTTTGATGAATCTTTTATTATCAATCCAATATCAACATAAGTTCACTGAAAAACAAAATTCAAAAATCACAAAGTTCATATGATTTGTGATTTGTTAAGAATGAAACCATTCTAACAAAGTGCAAATTAAAAATGTAGTATACTAGTATATAATTTTCATTTCACATGGAAACAAAATCAATTTATTTTTTATAATGATTTATTTAGCATAGGACAAAGTCTAAGAACTATGTTATTGAATAAATCTTAATGTGTGTTTTCCATGCACCGTTTAGTCTTGATTCAACACAACAAATATTTCTCTCATTATTAAGAATAACATACACAGGCTGTGGCATATTTTCAATAATCCTCAGAAGAGATCCATCATTTGATAATAAATGGACATTGTCACTCTCTGTCCCTGCCACATAAATAATATCATCACAGTCTATGTGAAGGCCATATGAAAACTTTAGTGAAGGATGACTGTATAACCAGAGCCTAGTGCCTTCATTCGTTATGGCAGTAACTTGTGATTTAAGATAATTACTGTACACGATATGTTCTTTCTTCGTGATAGCGACGTAGAGAACACCACTTTCGGTTGAAAAGGTTTTTAACTTATTTCCATCCGTGTCCATTTTGATAATAGAATCGTAACACGCTACATACAGAAAATTATCCCATACTGAAAGTCCCTTACATGAAACACCAACGAGGATTGTGCGTATTTTTTGAAAACAATTGACAGAGATAACTTCTATCACATTACTGTGAGGACAGGATACAAAAAGAACATTATTTTTCCGCTTGATGTCAAATGTTTTGTATCCAAATTGTACTTCTTGTTGAAGATTCCATGTCGCGTTGTTTCTGTAGTACTTCAAAATATTTGCATTGTTCAAGTTTGGGATTAACATTTCACTGACAGAAAGTAACATCAAACTTCTGGCATCACCGCCAGGTACTTTTATTTCCTGACATAACTCCAGTTTGAGATTCTTAACATCAAATGTACTTTCTAAATTTTCTTCTGTTTCACCAATGGATATCTCTCCAATTTTTGAAAGCTTTGTGATAGCTTTGAATCCAGCATCAACACCTGCCTGAATTGTGAAGTCAGATATCTTTAATTTGCTTTTCTTGACATAGCTTAGTGTTTTTTCCGCTTTAAGGTACTCTGTCAAAAAGCTAATACCATGTAAACCTTTACCTCTCTCTAAATCTGTGATACAATGCTTCATTAAATTAATTCTATCCCCCACCGCCTGGACATCTCTTGTCAGTTTTTCTTTACACTGTTTTGCAAGTTTTGACATTTCGTCCAAATATTCACATTCAAGTTTCTCAACATGCTGAATAATTCTTCCTTTCAAATTTTGAATTTCCTCTGTCATCTTATCAGTATTATCCTCTATTTCGGTGATATTTTTTTCCTGTTTAACTTTTGTCTCGGAAAGTTTTACTTCAAACTTCTTGAGATCTTGCAATAAAATATCAGTTGAACCATTGTTTCTGATTTTTTCTGTTTTCTGTTCAACAGTTTCCACGCTTTCGCATTTTCTATGGTCAGTACAGCAACACATAGCACAACATGGCTCCTCGTGATCATTACAATATAATTCTATGGGTCGATATTTGTGTTTAGAGCACGTTATATCTGGAGGCATTTTTAATATCTCCTGACCATGCATACCCTTCATCTCATCTAAAGGAAAGATTTTGTGGTCCTGAGTAGCGCGATTTTTACGATGACATTTTGTACAGATTTCACAGATAGCTTCGGAACAGTCCAAACAATAGTTGCTTGCTTCCTCCTCCTCGCTGTATCGTTGACATGCTTCACATATTTTCCCACTTTCAATCCATCTGGAAAATTTATCCATCAACACATTCTTTGGCAAATTTTCACACCATTCACGAAAATTTAAAGCCAAACTTGGAGAAGGCACAAATTTTCGACATAATGGACAATCAAATCCTACAGCGTTTTCCTTAGCTTGGCATTCGGACAAAATATGGGATGACAAGCATTCCTGGCAAAACATGTGCAAGCAAGGTAAATAGCGTGGTGTTTTGAATTGCTCGAAACAAATGGAACATTTCGTTAAATCTTCTTTGTTCATATTTTTTGTTAGCGAGAGAACACATCCGACGCTATAGTATTCGTTGAATCTAAAACGAAAGTAGTTTGGAAAATTATATATGGAATGCCGATCTTGCAAGAAAACTCCTTTTTTGTACGGGGGTCTCAGAGTTTATGTAAATCGCATATTTTAACAGTACGTACAGATATATGTAACAAGGAAAGGAGAAAACTTTCATACATAGCCATATAACAAACAAACGTAGCAGTCAACCTCCCAAACAATTTGACGAGAGAGAGAGAGAGAGAGAGATAAACTGACCTATAAAGAACCTTTTTTAATTGGGGGCTAACTATTTGGCAATTTTTCTTTAATGCTGGATTTTAATTTGCCAGTGCTCGTCCTAACAATAATATAAAAAGGGGGGCTAGCATTTAAATAAGTTATAAGTAATCATTGCTTAGGATGAAAATAATCATCTATCATTAATTTTTAACATTCGACCTTTAAAACGATTTTTGACAGATTTTAGGGAACATTTTTGTGGAATAAAATCAATGACTATGGAGAAAAAAAAGGTTCGAGTGATGATAGATCTTAAAATACACATGTAATCATTTTTACTGGTAGATAATCATTGAAACAATTTTAAATATAAGTTTTCACAATTTAAAATTTGCCAAGAATGTTGTATTACAAACTATGACGGAGATGTCTGTGGGGACGGAGCAATCCTCACAAAACCTGCGCAAAGCCTGTAAACAACGTGTGTTTTGAACTGATCATTGCAGCAAACAAACGAGACACTGAATAGAGGGAATAGAACGATCCCATCGAATTTTTTCATATGGAGAAATGGTGTTAATTCTACTCATTTGCATATCGGTAAAATTGGAGCTATAATGGCGGCAGATTTCATTAAGGTCTATATAGAAAAAAATACAATAATTCGCAGTTTTTTCATACACTATCCATTTCAGAAAAAGTTCTTCCGCCGATGATTCAATTTTTCTTACTATCTTTTACCGGAAATTACAAGATTGTTGATACTAAAATAAAAGTTGTGACAGCCTTTTTGGTTTGAAAAGTCGAGGCGAGAGTATATTGTTTTATTGAAGGATAAGGCACAAAGTTGGTGTTTTTATCATTTTTGATGATAAAATATAAATATATATTGCAAGTTGACAGGTTGCTCCGCAGATTAATAGATGAAGAAATAAACCTATGTTTATAAAATACAGATGATTTATCATTTTGTGAAGAGTTTCGACCGCCTTTTTAATTTGAAAACTGCGATTTCTTGCATCAATGTGATCTACTTACGATTTTAAAAAAGGTATCCTGAGTTGACAACTGATCACCACGCTACATTCCATCAATATAAATATGACAGAGCCTTGACAAAAAAGACTCATGAACCAGGCTCGCAAGTTTTAATATCAAATGTAAGGAAATGGATATTTCAAGTTTATGCAGGATCTTATGAATATTTATAAGAAGTAAATCAAGTAAATCACGTGGAAGCAATCTTGTTTGAAAAAGTGTTCAAAAAGTGTTTAATTGTATTAAACGTATGAAAGCTAATGAGAAATACCAACAGAGGGACCCGTTTTACAAAAGAACATACAACTAAGATCAAAATTTAATTTTGGGAATAACTTTCTTTTAAACATTAATTTGAAAATGGCTTCAATCTTTCTAAAAAGAATTTAAAAAGAAATATTTATGCATGCAATTTTTAAGCGTTTCTTTCATTTTGTAAGATTTTACAATCAATAAAAGCTTTCGGCCTTACTCGTAAGTTGTTTTGTAAAACAGGCCCAGGTTCTGTCATAAAACATGTATAATGAATGGCACTTCAACTTTAATGTCAGAGAGTAATCGGATAAGTATAGATTGAAAGTTTCTCTTACAGAATTTAACAATTAAGTTATATTACAAAACATGTATCTGAGCATTTTCAATGGTCAGATAGACTCAGATAGACTTTTTGTTAAATTCTAATAATAAATCAATCATTATCAAATATTATAACTTTATTTATAAACTGTGCATGTGGAATCATCAGAATTCGTGGACGCTAACTTTCGTTCATTGCTTAGATTTTGCAGGTTCGTGGGGACGTTATTTTGTGTATTCTACAAAGGAAATATTACTTTTTAACCCTTATCGTGGAGGAAGTTAATTCATGGATGAGAAAAACTGAGCCACCGCAAAATCTAATGATTCCACAGTACAAGAATGCCTATATTTTAAATAAACTTTTACCTAATGTATATTTTAAACTTAGTAATTTAGGTATCAAGAATGATATTATTAGTTACAGTAGAATATAATACAAGGTGATTAATTGTGTACCAAGTACAGTGACTACTAAATGGAAAAAGATTTTTAATTCCATGAACTATAGTTATCTTGGTAGAACAAACTGGACTATGGAAGTTTGTACCATGTACTTTAATATGGCATATTGTTAAGTAATGGAATCGATCAGAATAGTTAATCAAACCTTTCGATTCTAAACATAAAAAATTGACAAGATATACCTAGTTACTATTAAGATATCAAAGACAGAGCGATCGAATTGGAGCCTTTGAAGTAGAAGGTACATTGTAAAAATGACCTAGGGTCAGAACTTCTGGTTTTTGCAACCAATTGTTAGACCTTTGTTTTGATACTAAATTTGACTGAGGAATATTCCGTCTATCTGATCAATGCATAGGGCTAACGGTGGGCGTGACCGGTCGATAGGGGATGCTTACTCTTTCTAGGCACCTGGAGGTCGTAACATAAAGGGTACTTAAGTCTAAAACCATGCTTAAGAAGGACTGAAGTACGGTCTTAGACTTAAGACTGTTACTAGAAGCGTGTTTAGATTTGACAATCTAATTAAATCTTAGGCGGCTGGAAGAAGTGACTTATGTATGTCTTAACTATTTTATACACATATTTAAAACTATTGAATATTAAAATTTCGACTTTAAAACATTCATCTATTCATATAATGCATTAAAGAAAAATAATTTATGCCGCGTTATACTTCTATTTGAATTTTAGCTTTTTTGCTGAGGTGTGTGTGTGTGTGTGGGGGGGGGGGGGGGGGGGGGGCACTGATTTCAATGTCACTAGTACTCTCAACATGGCATATATGTACATGCAAAATTCTATTTTTGGTATACGTTTAAATATTCCACTAGTTTATAACCACTACTTACTACTAGTAACACGAACAAAGAAATCATGAATTTGTATGCCCTCTGGCAAAATGTGAGATGAAACACTAGATGTTAAAGGACGGAGAAATTGTTGGTGAGTAAAAAGACGATGACTTGAAAGCTAATAGAGATCGTTTGTAAATTAGATTCAATGTAGAATTGACAACCGCGGATGTAGATATGCAGGACGCACTACCTTCAGAGAGAGGGGGAGGAGGGATGTTGATAAAATATGACATACGAAAATGTTCCTGTTGTTTTGTACTACTTTAACAGATTTTTGATTTCAAGTACATAGACGTTCGGTTATCCTGTTATGTCTGCGAGAATGACAAAGCAAGTGAACAGCTTTTTAAAAAATATCTTCATATCCAGAACCATGCCTACCTCTGAACATAAAATGCCCTGTCTGTTACAAAAAATATTTTTTGGTTCTTTCTAATAAGTACCACTCGTACTTATAGAACTCTTTGAGCTATAATTTTTCGACCGCTATTTTTTTTTCTAGCTTTTGTAATAGGGTTCGTTGAATAAAAACGAAGTTGATCCTTGTTTCATAGTGGTATTTAATAGATAATAGTAACCATGGTAACAGTATAATATGACAGAGTAGAGTAGTATAGTATAATAGACCCTGTAATAACAATAACAAATATTAGACAAGCTAAAAATACACATTTAACTCCATTATAGTATATCATCATTATAATAAATCTCATGCTTTATAATAATATTCTCTTTGAATTAAATTGATATAAAAATAATTACCACTTCTTTATCACAGATCAATTTATCATAAAAATGATTCCTTTATTAATTTAGTCATTTAAAATAAAATAAAAAATCATATTAATTACCAAAATCATTATCTGATATTAAATAATTCTGAATCAAATAATCTTATGTAATTTCATATTGAACATTAACACAAATACAATTTCATGCATTGGCCATAACACACATAAGATTTAATTCAACATAAAATATAGACATGCATGACAAATACTAAAAAATAAGTTCTGTCAACACATACATATAATGGAACAACACATAAACATAAAACACATTACCTTTAATATGGTCAAAAGGTTTGGATGTACATATGGAAAGTTATACAATCCTGTTGCTGTGACATTCCTATAAGGAATGCATAACAATGAATAATCTCCCTTAGCTGCTATAAAAATCTTTAATAATAATAACTGCTTTATTTAATGAAAAGTACCTAGGCTTTTAAATTGAAAGAATTATTTAAATTATATGAAACAAAAGATAAAATTCCTAATTTTACTATTAATCACATTACAGTTATACAAGTTATTTATAAAAATAGTTTTACAACTTTAGACTTATTTATTCATTTCACTCAGTCCGACATATATACAATTTAATCCTTGAACTAGAGTGAAATGTCTGATAAAATATTTATACTGCTCATTTAAACAATCTCTCAAACTTGCATTCTCCATTCAAACACCTTTTTCACTCACTTTCACACAAACATACACAATCACAATCATACATGAAAATAATATTAAGAACAGACCTGAAATCCTGGAATTGAACAATCAAAAACAATAAACTGCTACACCAAAATAAAATGAAATCAGGAAAATTCAAGACATCCTGTCAGTTTAGACACAAAGACTGGTATGACCAGTTCTGACCAAAAATACACTGCCCACAAAAAGATTTCCCTCCAAAAACCTCGACCAATGAAATTTCACTGATGGGTCACTTTATAGGTCACTGACCTCTCAAAGTTAATTATTAAAAGGGAAACTTATATTTGTTCATTCTAAAGTAATTCCTAAATAATTATATCTTCTAAAGTATAATATACCTTAGATAAATAATAAATTGCTGAAATATAAATAAGTTAAATTAAATAAATTTCCTGTAAATAATAATATCAAAATCATTTTGTAGATAATAATACTAAACATGTCAAATAAACATAAAATACTAAAATACTAAAAATATATACACTTTTCAAATATTTACACTTTACCACACTTTTTTTTTTATCTCGTCTTTCTCTAAAAAAGTTTTTTTCGGTTATTATGTTCTAAATGCTAACTTTCTTTTCTTTTCTTTTTTTTTTTTTGGCTCTTTAACTTTTTCAGCCTTTTTCGATATTTAACCAGTCAGAGACTTTTGTATAATTGTCTTCTGTGATGAGATTCCTGAATTAAATTTTTGAATTATATAATCACTGTAATACAAATACACTTGAATCTAAATTAAGTACTTCATCTACACAAATATGTTATAATGTTTTGATTTACGTGTAAAAGTTTCAATAACCAGGATGTAACACTACATAGAGTTATAAAAAATCTATTTTCTGAAAATGTGTTAGAGGGAAATAATATAATGTATATAACAAAAGGACAGTGTTTTTATTATAAATTGCGCATTTACAATTCTAGTGTGTATTATGCAGAAATACCTATCAATTTTCATTTCCTTTTACTGTACAATTTAATATGATACAATAAGTGACATAATTTTGTGGTTCAACAAAATTGTATGCAAGAAGCTTTACTTAATTGTGTACATCTTGATGCTAGTGTCCCAAGGCCATATATGATGTATCCCTATGCAGCAACATATACTTCTATCATTGCTTAACATAAAAAATAAAGGGCGATACATATTTTCAATGATGTGTAGGACAGAACCATCAACGTATAACACATGAATGTTGTTACTGTCTTTTCCTGCCACATAGATTATATCATCGCAGTCAATGTGAAGACCGGATGGATGTTTTAGGCTATGGTGACTATATGTCCAGAGAGAGTCACCCTTGTCTGGAAGGGAAACCACTTTATGTCGCTCTTCATTGCTGAAAACAATATCCAAGTTCTTTGTGACAGCAACATAATAAACACCACTAGATGTGGGGTAACTTCTCAATTTATTTCCATCTGTATCCATTTTGATAATTGACGTATTACAGGCGGCAAACAAGAGGTTTTCCCTAAATGAAATTCCATAACAAAAATGATCAACATCGATTGAACGAATCAATTGAAAATCTTTGGCTGAGAGAACATCGATCGTTTTACTCTCTGAACACGATGCAAAAAGAAAATCACCATTTTGCTGAATATCAAAGAGCTTGTTTCGAAACCTGATATTCCCTTTAGGAGTCCACTTGTCTTTGACTGTAAAGTACCTCTTTGCAGTATTTGTTTTATGCAGAGGGAATATCACATCAGTGTTAGAAAGAAACACTCCACTACGAACTCTGCTCCAAGATAACTGTATCTCTTTACACAATTCCAGGTCAATGTTTTTAACATCAAACGTAAGTATTAAACTTTCTTTTGTTTCCAATAATTTCAGTTTTCCAATTTCTGAGAGATTTGCAACTGCAATAAAATCAGGAGCTAGATGTGATTGCAATTCGAACTCCAATCTCTCTACTTTTTTACTCACAATAGTTTCTAATGTCTTCTTGGTTTTGAGAAATTCTGTCAGAAAATTGACATCTTGAAAATTTGTAGCAGACTCTGCATTTTTTCTACAAAATTCCATTGATTGAATAATGTCACCAATTGTCTGTATATTCTTTTTCAGTTCTCCTTTGCACTCCTTCGTTTTAGTGGAAACTTTATTTAGAAATTCTATTTCTAGTCTTTCAAGATTCTGAATAGCTTTTATTTTCAGACTACGAACTCTGTCTATTATTACACCAGCTTCCTTCTCTATCTCTGTGATGTTTTTTTCCTCCATGCATTTTGCCTCAGAAAGTTCTCGCCCAAATTTCTCGATGTTGTTTATTAAAACTCGAACTGATCCACTGCTTCTGACCTTTTCTGCTTTTTGTTCAATGGTTTCCACGCTTTCACATTTTCTGTGTTCGGTGCTGCAGCACATTGCACAACACGGTTCCTCGTGATCGTTGCAAAATAACTCTATTGACCGGTCCTTGTGTTTCGTGCAAAGGATATTTGTAGATATTTTTGACAATTCGGGTAAATTTTCCATTTCATCAAAACGGCAGATCTTGTGATCGCAGGATACACGATTTTTTCGGTGATACGTGGTACAATTATCGCAAAGTGCTTCACAGCAAGACAAACAATAGTTAACCGCCTTCTCCTTCTCATTTTCTCTCTCACAGACTTCACATAATTTCATACTTTCTGTTTTGCAGGAAACATCTTCGAGTAGATTACAGGTTGGCAAAAGCCTACTCCAGTCTTCGAAATTTAAAATGAAACTAGGAGCAGGTACAAATTCCTGACATATTGGGCAGAGAAATCCTGATGGGTCGTCCTTTGATTGACAGGTGGATGAAATGTGGGAAGACACACAATCGTGACATAGCGTGTGTGAACATGGCAAGACACGTGGTGTTTTAAACTGGTCAAAACAAATCGGACATTTGGAAAATTCTACATTGCTCATACCTTTTTCTTCCGTCATTGAACAAGCCATCTTTTCCTTGAATTCAAAACGAAAGTTACCAACGAAATTAAAAATGAAATACCGATCCCGCAGTTAAAGCTATCTTGAAAAGTCATAAACCTATATTACGCTACAATCGAAGTGGTGTCGGCCATATTTCTCTCTTCTGCGATTGCTTCAATTGCAAATATATGTGATCGACCGCAGTCACTGGTCATTGCACACGTTTCCAGAAGGCCGACCGTTCACGGTAGCTCAGTCGGTAGAGCGCTCGCTCCGTGATCGGGAGGTCGTGAGTTCCAATCTCGGCCGCGACAGACCTAAGTTGATAAAAAAAAATAGGTAGCAACTGTTCCTTCGCCATGCGCTCGGCACTTTGAAGTGAAAGTTGCGGGTCCTTCGGATGAGACCTTAAAAACCGAGGCCCCGTGTCACGGCAGGCGTTGGCACGATAAAGATCCCTCACTGCTCAATGGCCCTGAGTGCCGAGTATAGGTCAAATTTGAAGCCCTTCACCGGTATATGGTGACGTCTCTATATGAGTGAAAAATTCTCGAATTGGACGTAAAACAATATACAATCAATCAATCAATCAATGGCTCTGAGTGCCGAGTAAAGGTCAAAATTTGAAGCCCTTCAACGGTATATGGTGACGTCTCTATATGAGTGAAAAATTCTCGAATGGGACGTAAAACAACATACAATCAATCAATCAATCCAGAAGGCCGAGTGTGCAAGCCTGTACTTTCTTGCGCTAAATTTTGCAAACCAAATACATGTATGATTCAAAACAATATTCAAAAAAATACTTTTTAAAATTTAACCTCTTCGACATGAAAACAACTGTGTGAAACTGGACTGTCTATACGTTTCATACCTCGGTGTCCTTCTAGCTAGGGATCAGTTATTATTTGGAGAAAATGTTATCGAAAAGGAAATATTAATCATATTACATGTATTATTATTGAATTTCGTTTTCTTCCAGACAACTTTAACATTCCCGTATTCATGTATGGACAATCACTCCCTCGAACTATGTGCCTGAGGATGGTTATATTTTTCAGTTGCGCGAAGTCTTTAGCGAAATTACAGTATATTGTTTGATTATGATTGTTCTAAAACAAACACATATATAGAGTACATACCATTTGCCTATTTTCTGGATCGGGATGAATCTCCTCCAGCAAACTCTTAAGGGTGTCCATTCCTAATAGGACCAAATTCTCTATCCTTAAATGTCCATCACATACATTATACTCTGAAGGCATTTTACAGTAGAAAAGGATTTACCGAGAGAAAGTTTCAAAAATGTAATTAACTAAGCAGTAATTAATTAACAAAAATTGCACTGAAGTAAACGGGGACAAGCGATTTTTTGAAAATAAAAATTCAAATAATAAGAATATCAATAAATACTGAGGTGGAAAGATGCATTAAAACATTAGAAAAAGAATGACAAATGAAAACATATTTTTTACCAGATAAGTTTTTTTTAATTGTGTTTTTTTTTATTAATTAAAAACAGAGGGAGATAACTCTTACAAAAATTCAAGGTCATATATTAGGACACATCCCATCCTTACATGCTAATAGTAATAAAATTAATTTGAATTATGTCTAAATATAATGAGTATTCAACACCTACATGTACACATCTGCTATGTATTCAATTTCATTGAATCTGTTGCTATTAGAGATGGAATACCTTAACTAGTTTCATCCTCAAAATGTCAAGGTTTTGTGATTTCGAAACTCCACACAAACCCTTGACATAAGTCGTTATTTAAAAGTTGGGCTTTTGGTTACACATGACGTAATGGGTAATTATAAACTAACCAATGAGAATATATTTTTCAAATCCGTCGTTATCAAATTACCCAACACCAGAGCATATCTTTTGTGATTGCAAGGAGGTCGATCTTCAAAAAATTAATTCCCGATGTTTTATTTAAACTTACTAGTCACATATCCTACAATATTAACACTTCCCATTTTAAAGACGAGTCATATTTGTTAATAAAACTTACCCGCAATAAAAGCTGTTTTCTGATTGGTTCCAGTCCTAGTCCAGGAACAAATGAAATAGTAGCTTTCCAGCCCAACTTTTATATAACGACTTATGTCAAGGGTTTTTGTGGAGTTCCGAAGTCACAAAACCTTCACATTGTGAGCATGAGCTAGTTTATGAAAAGATGAATTCTTCGAGATACAGCCAGAAGTTCTACTTTCAAATACATGTAAAAAAAAAAAAAATTGCTACTAGTATTTTATGTTCTCTGAAATGCGTATGAAAACTAGGATGTTGTCTAATGTGAAGAATATATGAATATATATATAATGTGAAGAATATGTTTATTAACTAAAATCAAGGTATGCAATTGTATTACTCATTTGCTTAACTGTCGTTCAAAATTAGAAGCCAGAATGACATGTGAATTGTGCAATATTCTTTACTAATCCCTAAGCAGAACTGATTTTGTACATGTAACAATGTGGTTAAAACCATCTTTGAAGACATTTTTTATATCAAAAACATTATCTTCCTTGCACGCTACTTTGATTCTAATCTCGAGAGAATCACGAGTAAAACTTTCATACCTATTTAATTTTTAAGCTTATGTTAATTGTCATGAAGCCCTCGAATATGCTGTTCTGATCAATATTTGTCAGTCTTGTTTGACTTCTTACTTTAACCAAAACTGTCACAAAAAAGCATTGGGCAAGATGGATTCAAACTGTTTGAATTACAGGTCACAGGGAGATAATTTTAAAAAGTGAAGAAACGACAAGCTCCGATAGAAATCATCAACATCCACTCCACTGGAAATGACAGAACTTAAAAACAGCTTCCATTCAAAGTAAATAATTGAAATCTATGGGTCTCTGGGTGTGTTAATTATTTAATGATTTTACTAAGTTTTTGTAGTTTTTGTAGTGAGAAGTTATAAGAATTGTTCCAATTCTTTCAAAACAGAAAAAAAGCTACATATTTTGATTAAGAAAACAAGAAAACAACTCGTACGCGTACTTCCAGATGAGTACATCATTGTCATGAATTTCTTAATTTTTTTCAATTTCTAAGTGAAGATCACCTATCCTTAGGCAAACATCTACACAAATTTTGTTGATTTATACGTACATAGTCTGTATAAACATGTAACAATGTAATGCATCATTAATGGCATACATAATAAGTATATTATGTACCTCGCATTTAATCAGTAGTAATGACTAAAATTGATACAAAAATCGTGTTTATAACAGACTTTACTGGATAGAAAACATTTTAATATGTGTCTCCCATATTTGTGCATCAGTCAATTTGCTTCCAACGCAACAAAGATGTCTATTCTTATTCAGTGTGAAGAACACTGGCCTCTGTATATTTTTACCGATGTAAAGGGGAGATCCCTCACATGACAATACGTGAACATTGTTGCTATCTGTTGCCGACACGTAGATTATATCATCGCAGTCGATGTGAAGACCATAGGGATGCCTAAGTGTTGCGTTGCCATGAGTCCAAACAACATCTCCTTCGTCTGTTATGGCCGTCACTGTTTTTTTCTTGTGGCCCTCTCCAAAAACGATTCCAAATACCTGGATGTTGATAAAATTGATTAAAGATAATCTTCCAGAAGCAAATTTCAGAATTTAGCACTACAATTATATTATAGTACATTACATTATATTTGGTGACGTCGTAATGTGAGTGTAAAAAATTTCAATGGTCAGGATATGATAACATATAATGATCATACGTACCAGACACTAAATATCATTTTAAAAATCACACATCATTCTTTCATATGAATATCGTGTAATTATATTAGAGAGGATGTATTGTATTGTATGTTATCAAGAAATATTTTTAACGTGTATTTAATCATAATAGGCGAACATTACAGAAAAATCTGTCGATTTTCTTTTATCTGCTGAAGTTTCGTATTTAAGATAATACAAAGAAACTGGACTTTACAATACTGGATCTCCTAATTTAAATGCTTAGAACCTTAATAATTAAGTTCCAGTCCACATAAAAATCAGACAAAAGTGTATGAAAGTGATACATGAAGGTTTTCAGAAATCGGTAATTTTCTCTTGCAATATGAACAATGTAATTAAAATGAAAAATGTTTTGAGTCATGATTACAATGGAAACCTGGCCAAAGAAATTTCCTTAGCAACCATCAATTTTTTTAAATACATAGATCTTCAAATTATTGTCCCAAAACTTTGTCCCTGTACAACACATATCCTATCCTTGTTGAATATGAAAAACACAGGACTCGGCATTTCAAGTTGTTGGTTAACACATTAACATTGTTACTTTCTGTCCCTGTCACATAGATTGTATCATCACTGTCAATGCAAAGACCACATGGATACTTTAGGTTATGATGCCTATATGTCCAAGAAGTGGCACCCTCTTTTTTATGGCAGAGTGTTTCCCCATACAATTACTGAAAACAATACACCAGCTTTTTGTTACAGCAACATTGTGTGGGATTAGTTCTTAACTCGTGTCCTCAGTTTCCCTTTTTATAATTGTAATTTTGTAATTGATGTATTATAGGCAACATAAAGGAAACAATTCATTTTTTTTTATAAAAGAAAATTCCATCACAAAAATTACCAACACTGGTTGTGCGCATCGTCTGAACATCCTCGCCAAAAGAGCCTCTATCACCTCACTATTGAAACTTGATACAAAATCCCCATTTTGTTTCATATCAATATACTACGTCCAAAAGTCTAATCCCCGTTTGCAAAATTCCACCTGTCTTTTATTGCAGAGTACCTTTTTAAAAGAAAATTTGTGTTCAAGTATGAGTTTAATACATTTGTATTAGTAAGGAACATTGCATCAGGAATGTCGCTGCCAGGGAATTCTATCTTGAGACACAACTCCATGTGAAGGTTTTTAACATCAACCATGTGTACTAAACTTTTTCAATAATTCTATCGTTTCCAATCTTTGAGAGTTTTGCTACTGCTTTAGAATCAAGTTCTAATTGTGATTACAATTT